CTATGCTCAAGATCTATCGAGCACTGATTCAATCCAAACTTGACAATGGGTCTATGGTTCTGCCAGGACCTCGGCCTTGAAGATACTGGACCCCATTCACCATCTGGGGCTTCGGATGACATTGCTGTCCCCAATGATCAGCCCATTCCACCTTGGCTTATTACCATCCCTTTCTGCGACCTTTCTCCGAGTCGTCTGAGGAAAGCAGATACTCCCGATTGGAAGAATCATCTTCTTTTTGCTGAGCATCTTTTGAGCCATTCTTCTCTTCCTATTTACACGGATGGTTCAAAATCGGTTGACTCAGTAGGTTCTGCCATGGTGTGCTGTGGCTCGGTAGTTGCTCGCAGGATCCCCTTTACAGTTTCTGTGTTCACTGCCGAGTTGTATGCTATTTCTCTGGCCCTGGAATCGCTTAACGTTAGTTCTCACCCTGTTCTCGTCGATATTCAACACCGATTGGCCCACTTTTCTCTATCTTCTGTTTCCATCCTGTTTTTCTGGATCCCTGGCCACGTCGGTATTCACGGGAACAAGCTTGCTGACACCGCAGCTAAGTCCATCTGCTCTGGTGCCATCACGGACATGCCTGTCCCATACATGGACTGTGGTCCTGTCTTTAAGGCACGGCTTTGCGCTAGTTCCCAGTCAACTTGGGGTGAGCAATGTCATAACAAGCATTTCCAGATCAAGCCTACTGTTGATCTTTGGCCATCTTTCTTCCGTAAGGAGGAAGTAGTCCTGGCAAGGCTACGCATTGGTCACAGTTTTTTAACCCATCGTTTTCTTTTATCAGGTATTGACCCACCGATGTGTAGCCATTGTGACACTAAAGTCACAATAGCCCACATTTTACTGTCCTGCCGTCGTTATGATCGTGAGTGGCGACATTGTTTTAGACACATGTTTTCTAAGAGTTTACCTCTGACATTGAACAGTGTCATTGATAATGGTGACACTGTCCAATTAGATTGTATTTTTAATTTTTTATGCACTATAGGTCTTTTTATTTGTATATAAATCTTTTA